AGCTCATGTTAGCTGTGTGTCATCATGTTATGATGCAATTGGGAAAGTTTTTTGAGCTTTTCTGGACAGTGCCTCTGAGGCATATAACAAAATTTCCCAAATACAAAGAAAAATTATCAAGTATGTAGTTTCTAACTGACTTTAGCTATACTTAGGTAATATATTGGATCTTTAGGTTATGGCATTTGCATGATCGTAGACCTAAAGAACGCTTCACTTGACAACCATAACGCTACGGACATGTTACGTATTCCACTTAAACTCGTACATTCACCTTAAAAACGAAAACAAAAGTGGCGTTTATAGGACTGTGATGCCTCTTACTGTGCCCAAGGACGATCACACAAGCGCTACAAGGCGACACTCGTCCAAGATTTCTTCTCGCGGGTAAAATATCGAATACGAAAGAGAAATCCAATATCAGTTTCTATCATTCTAAGTAGTAACTGTAACTCAATCAGAGTGGCTATGAGCCATTCAACTTGAAAGCTGGATCGTCTGTAAACAGTGGCAATTTTTTAATGCCACTGAACTGACTGTCCTATATCATTTATTTATCGAGCTACTAACGTGAACAACATGAGTTCAAGGATTGTTAACATTGTTGAAAACCAAGTTTTGGTTTATTAAAATGCAAAAAAAAGATTGTTACAATATTAACTATAGACGTATAAAGAAGCAATAACATAACAAGGTGTATCGAACTAGAGAAGCTATGAATGAGGTTAAAGCCCACTGGCATTGTTAAGAAACAGGAGCCCATGACTGTGAGAAATACTGATGCAAAACGCAACAGAAAGAGAATACACAAGGAGCTATAAAATAAGGAGATGTGACACCGTTTAAAACGGTCATGACGTAATCCTAGTCCGAGACGTTACCACAAAGAAAGTACCGCTGCTATCTGATCACCAAAGCTAACTTAGCTAAGCTAGCACCGGACGAGTGATCAAGTAATAAAATCCCTGTGCAACGGGTTCTCATTTTCTTTCCTATTCTTTTAAGCGTAAAACCAGGACGTACAAGCTTATTATCAACTTCCTTTTATTAAAACAAAAATTAGGTTAAACTGCTTTTGTACCAATGAAGATTGCATATCAAAAACGCGACATTCCCCACGCTATATGCGTTACGTTATGTGTTATTATTATTACTCAGGTTTCAAAACTCGAGTAGTCGAGTGCAAACATGCGTAACAAATTTCTATTGTTTAGACGTACTGTTCCTCAAAAATCAGAGAAATAATAAATAAACGTTTTGCTTTTTCCGTTTCTCTGTTGCATTTCCCCTTTCTTACTATTCAGACGTATTTTAAGGGGGTCCTCTACTCTCAGATATAAATTTTTCTCCAAACAACCATTTTTTCGGAACATGAAGATTCAACATCCCTGTCCTTTTGCAAATCGTATTTTGAAACGATTTTCCTCTAATTACTCCTTGATTTACGATTTACGTTTAAATTAAGAAATCTGTACACTGGTAGCTATATTTCAACATAGCAACACCCATAGCAACCGTTGTTTACACTCTAAAAGTATTCACAAAATGGATTCAATTCAGTACATTTTAATGATACTTTACAGAAAAGCTTTAAAGATGTGCACTTATGGGAATTTTGCATCATGGTCCTGAACATTGTTTCCACTACCATCTTATACGCTCGTTACACTTGATTAACATTTTTATGACTGGCGTTTACTCGGGTATTCAATGGAACATTTATATAAAACCTTACGATATACCTCTTCCCCTTGCCTCTAGCCCCCC